ATTTGACCTTCACTGGCGTGTGGTTTCCAATTTAGTTTGTTGTCTATGGTGGCCGAGGGCTTGATGGAATCTACAACCTGGGTGTGTGGGACCTGGGGTGTGGAAGGAGGTGGGACAATGTGGGAGAGGTTGATGTGCCTTCATGGTCTTGGTATGGTTGATGGTGACATGGTTGTTGGTGGCCCAGTTTTGGGCATTTCAATAAATCCTGAAGGCGGTATAGTTGGGCAAATTGTTGGCCTGATCCCAATGGTGATCGTCGACTATATTTCCAGCGAGCAAGGGGTTTCTCTTAGGGCATCATTGATGAGCATAAGGAAGCAAAGTGGTATCTTGGTGTAGCAGAGGTATACAGGTAGTGGCTGAAAGGTGGGAACAACCCTAGGCGTACAACAGCGTCGGTCACTGAAGTCTGTAAGCCTTGATGTAGACTTCTCCGAAGCCCGAGTCAATAACTTTGTTTATGATTATATTGTATTAAACTAGATTTGACAGCTTTAGTGAAATCAATAATGACAGCTTCTGGGCGTTTTAGATTTCTGAGATGGCGGTATATAATAGAAAGCTGACAGGTAGGTGGTGGAGATTTTCATGTTGTAAATTGCTTGAGGTCTCTGACTCCTGTATCAGCATAAGCTTGATCCAGAAAAACCTGCTTTCTGAATTAGGCTGGGTATTGGGGTGATTGCAATAGGTCGTAGCTGATTTAAGGATTGTGGGCTGGTTGACTTGGGCACTGGTGATACATAAGAGGTCTTCCAGTCAGCTGGGCATCTGGCTTGACTGAGAGAAGCATTGATGATGGAGCAGAGGGGTTTAGCAAGCTCCGGGGAGAACTCCTTGAATAGTTTCATTGATAAGTCAATGGGGGTGGTAGAGCGTTTTAATTTTAGTTTGTCCAGGCGTTTTGCTACGTCAAATTCTTCTACTAAGTCAGTGGGAAGGGGGGCTGGTAGGTAAGCAGGGAGAGTGGTTGTGTCAAGCCGTGGGAGCGTCTGGCATATAGTAGCGAAATGGTTATTTGTTTGCTCAGCTGCGTCAACATTAGTGAGATGGCTAAGGAAGGGGAGGGGGTGTGTCTTATTGTTTAGTCCACAGAGTTCTTTAAGCTTACCATACCATTGACTGATGTTGGTCTGCTTCAGGTGTTGTAATTTGGTTGGGTAGTGGGACTTCTTTGCAGTGCGTATTTCGCGGATGACTCTGTTGCGAAGTGACCTGTAGCGGATGTGGTCATTGAGATGAAAGGCTCTGTCTCTCTGTTGCATTAGTCTTTTGATCCGAGGTGTGATCCAGGGCAAGTCAGCTGGGTGAGATCTGACGGACTTCTCGGGGAAGAAGTGGTGGTGAGCTGCGGTGGTGGTGTTGGTATAATTTATCCATTTGGTTTCCACGTCATCCACGCTGAGTACTTCAGTCCAGGGATAGTGAACTATCCACTGCCCAAAGAGGCGTACTGCAGAGTCAGTAATCGGCCTGTAGGTCTTGATGTAGGGTCTCTGTACTTGAGTGGGAGTGGCAGCAGGGGACCAGAGCACTGATAAGTGTGTGCTACACCCGATAGGAGGCAGTGGTTGAGGGGGTTGGTACTGGTCCGCTATATGGGAGCTTCCATGGTGTTTGTTTTCATATCAAAATGTGAACATCAATTTCATCAGGAGTCTTTGTTGCGATTTATATTGGATTGAATTTGTTTATTTTTCTAGTTGTTATTTGGATGATAGCAAGTAAGATCATGATGACAATGCACAGGTTAGGAAGTTAAGTAGGTTAGGTCAGGTTTTATTGGGTCAGCCAAATAAACTACCAAAAATGATATCCCATAGTGAAGGGGTTAGAGGTTGGAGGAATTGAAGCCTTCCAACTTTTGTTTTTCTTGAGTTCTTGTTAAAGAGTACAGTAAATACAGTCCATTGACACAGGGAGTCTGTTACCCACCCACACGAGAAGGACATCATTTTTTTCATTATTTTAGGTTAGGTTTCATTAGTTATGGCTTGATTGGTCTGTATGGAAAGGAAGTGAAGTTGGCAATCGTTGACTGGGAAGCATTCCACCACTTATTGTTGGGGGTCAGTTTGCCGCTACACAGCATTTGTCAAAATGGTGTCGTGTGAAACGGGTGAGCGGCAGTGTTTTTAGTTATGGGAAAAGTTAGGAGAAAGAAACCTGTATAGTATGGTAAATGCTATTCCCTCCACATGATCTGCTTTATTAATGAGGTAAGGAATAACTTTTCTTTTATAGTTTTTGTTAGGTGGCTGGATAACCTTGTTTTTATAATATTACAGTGTACTGTAGTCTTAAATTTTTTTTTTTGTGAAAAAGCATTTGCCAGTATGACTGTTGAGGGTTTAGATGTTAACGCCCTCTGGTTCTTTTAAAGATTACTGTCATGTGGAACACTTTTGCTTTCACCAAGGATATTGAACAAGATTATGGATACAGTGGTCCCTCGGTTAACGAACGGTTCGGTTAACGAAATTTCAGGTAATGAATTGGGTCACATAAAGATTTTCAGTTCGATTAACGAATAAAACTTCGAATAACGAAATCCTTACGACAAACACGTTTGTTGTGCGCATCAACTGATCAGCTGATTGGCTAGTCCGCCAATACAGTAATCGGTTCTATGTTTGCATTTGTTTCCAGTGGAGTAAATATCAAGAAGGTTGTGCGCTTTAATATTTTTGCATTTTTTATATTAAAATTATTAGTCATCGTGTTTGTTGCTCTCTTGAATACAGAGTATTTTTACGTTTTTACATAAAAATTATTGGTCATTCTGAAATTTAGTTAACATATTGATAATATATAGCACAGTGCAGTGTTGATTTAAATAAAATAAGCTTTAATTACAGCTAGTGAACTTAAAATTTTATTGGTGAAATTACTGCATCAAGCATGGGTCCAACATTCTACATACACACCTCAAAGTAAGTGTACTGTACTGCATTATATTTATACTTTGTATTTACTTTTCTGTGAGTTGGAACCAATTACCCAAAATCCCATTGAAATAATAGATTCGGTTTACAAAAGTTTCGGTTAACGAACGACTCTGTGGAACGAATTGTGTTCATTAACTGAGGGACCACTGTATTTGTAACAAAACATGGAGTTAGGTTCTCAAAATGGCCATGAATCGCCAAATCCACGCATAACATTTGCGGACCTGGGGGGTGAGGGCTACATTTTTACTTGTGTGCAAAGAAATGTATTTTCCCAATATGTGTTTGCCTTTAGGACAATTATTTCTTTTACCTGTAGTATTGTATAGACTGTATGTGTGTGTGTAGACACACATACAAATAAATAATAATGGGAAATACTCTCATAAATAATCAGAAAAAAAATAAAAAAAATTGTGACAGTCTACCTTCAAGTCCGTGCTCTATTAATGACATAATAAAGTGCGAACTAGAGGGTAGACTGTTGCATTTTCAATAAAATTTCGATTATTTGTAAGGATTTTCCAATTATTATTTATTTGTATATGTTTTTTGTGTCTGTGTCTACACACACACACACACACACACATACACATACATATATTTACAATACAGGTAAAGGAAATAACTGTCTCTAGAATGAATGGCTCCCTGTCCCAGCCGTGAAAATGCCAGCAACTTTAAAACTACCCACAGACATTCTTGGGTACATCCAGGGTGTCATGCGCAAATAATAGAGGACCGCGAAATAAAAATCCGCGAACTTGGGGCCCCCTGTATATACACTGATAATTATAATTGGCTTGAAGACAGTACAGAGCAACATTAACATATATGGTGTGGAACTGCCGGTCTGCCAGCCAGAACAACTGTCGGGAGTATAGACACTGGGCACAGGAGATCAAGTATCCTCCTAACTGGCACAGGTACTTGGTAATGGACCTGGGAGGAACAGCACAGAGGCTAGGGCTGACAGTGTCCTAGCTGGTGGGCTGACATACAAGGCTAGGAGTGCAGCAGTTCACACCAACGTGACCATGAATAAAAAGAGGTAGCAGATGACCAACTGGGCCAGAGGTAGGGAGCCAAGTGACCAGCCATACGGTTACACCCCGCACTATGACTCGGTTTGAACTACCCATGAGCAGCACCTGCTTCAGATACAGAGAACAAACCCAACACTGAACAACTCAGTCCCAACAATCATTAGACTGGATTACAAACCCCCTTACAATGACTAACTCACAGTACAGTACTTGAGTTTTGGCATAAAATTTCACAGGATCGATGATTTTTGTATTTTTAGTTATAATTAGATGCCAGATGGATAATATTTTGTACAGTATACCCTGTAATCTTAAATGCAGTAAATTAATGTATATTGTGTTAGTGTGAAGGGTTATGAAACTGGGAAAATGTTGGAATAAATTAAGACAAATAATTGAGCATTTTTGTAATAACCAAATTTTGACCCCCCACCTTATTTAAAACACTGGAGCCTCAGCAGCAAAAATTAATACATAATTTTCTATATTGTAAGCTGCCAACAGAAAAATACAGCGCCTGTACTTTATGTCCCTATGGTGAGACTGTGTTGCCATTGGGTATTGGAATCCTATTTGAAAGTCGTAAATCCATTTTAATCATTTTAGTACTTTTTTTTTGTTTACCTACATGTTTTGCTTGTCTTCTCCTTGTTTGTGTGACCATGGTAAACATTGCAGTTCATTTTAATTATGGTAGTAAAATAATGCCAAGGATGAGGTGCATTACAGAACAATATTTTGTGATACTGTACATAAGTGTCTCAATCATTAATCATCTTTTATATATTTTTCATCACAGGTTATGAATTGTATATAACCTTGATTAAATATAAACTTTGTATTTTGAGTTGGGTTTTGTTAATCACTTTACTGTAGGAAAGTTGGAGTTAGAGGAGCAAAGGTGTTAGGATAGAGTGATTATTATGTAAGTGTAGAATAGGGATAAATGGTACAATTTATTTATATACAGTATATAAATTTTTTGTTTTTTACCCTTTATCAGGTAATATCTGCCGTTCACCTACAGCAGAGGCAGTGTTAAACCATGTATTAAAGGAACGAAACATGACAAATTGGGATGTGGATTCTGCTGCCATTGGGTCCTGGCATGTAGGACTAGGACCTGACTCCCGTGCTGTCAGTGTTATGAAACGTCACAACATACCCATGAAGCATAAGGCTAGACAGGTAAGCTGAAATCGAAATGATAGAAGAGAAAGGCTTTGCATATTGATAAGGTTTAAGCTTACAGTAATTAAATACAATAGCTGATTGTATTGATACAGCAAAGCTGAAGCACAGTATACCTGTACTGGACCATTTGGTTACTTTTGGTCTCAAAAAGGGATTTTATTATCAGTCCTTTATTTTCTATGTACTGTATAGGTACAGTACAGTATTAGGTAAGTGGGCTGTGAATTAGCTGGAAATTAAATTTTGAGGTAATACATTACTGCATTTACCTTTCTGTGCAAAGTGCAAGAAACTTTTTTTTTTTTTATTATTATTATTATGTTTTTCATCATTTGTCCCAACTTAGTGTATTAATCTATTTTCATCATTTATTTATTTATTTATTTTTTTACAGCTCACGAAAGCCGACTTTGTACACTATGACTACATTTTTGGGATGGACCATGATAACATCTCTGACATCAAAGCACGGGCTCCCAAGACTTACACAGCTCGGATTGAACTCTTTGGTTCTTATGATCTGAAAAAGGAGCTGATTATCAGAGATCCATACTATGTGAGTTGCATGAGTTTTAGTATTTGAGATGATCATTTACAGAAGGTAGGCCAATGCTTAGCTCATGGACATCCTAGAGAGGGAGATGGAAGGGCATTTGATCATTCTTCAACAAATACTCCTCCAGGTAAAATTTTAAGTTAAAAATAACCCTTAGAAATTTAATGGTTTTGAGTAGCCCACTTAAAAGATGTTAGGTACTGCTGACATGCTTACCAGGACATGGCATTTGTAGAACACTGAATCCTTTCTTTTGTTTGTTATTTGATAAATGTTATTATAGGGCAAGTGGGTAAAAAATACTATTGAGGAGCTTCTTCCTATAGAAGGTTGTGTAGATACTTAGGTTAGACTAAGGGCTTTTGTAATGCCAATGTATAGGGGGATTTTCTTCTTTTACTTTTTCTCTTTATTTCTTTAATTCTTATTTTTCTTTCTTTAACTTATCAAAGGTATTTCTTTCTTTCTCTCTATACTTTTCTGATCCCTTACTTTTTTCTGATCTAGTTATATTCTGACCTAGGGCTTACCTGGGAAACCCCTTGTTATGTTACACTCTTCAATAGTCATGGTAGCTGCCACCACCCAGGTTTTTCTATCAGAACATACTGTATAATATAACATTGGTCACTTAACTAAGGTGATAGTAACAAGACACTTGGGTGGTAGTAACGTGGTGAGGGTCTGGGGCACATGGCTTTGTGATAACCCCCAACATACAATATAGATGGTTTATTTAAAATTAAGTTGAATACTGGAAACTTGATCATAACATAAAATACAGCTATGAATCACCCCTTGGGGTTCACTCAAGATTTGGCCAAATTTACATTAACACTGAGACAAACTCCAAAGACCACTTGTCCTTACTTCTACGTCAACCAAACTGGTATTCACGTCAATAGGACCAATGTTCAGTCAAAAGTACTATAGGTTTCTGGTAACATTTATGAGTGATACACAATAATATTATTACTTCTACTTACAAACAACTTCTTAGCACTTCTCAAATACCCATCACAAGATTGTTCATGTACATTAAGTATTACTACTGTACTTTCCACACAGTGATATCACAACCCCACTAGTCGGTGATACAACCTTTCCTCTCGTCTTTTAACAATCTCATACCTTGTTACACTCCTCAAATCACAGGACACATCAGTATCCATGTACCAGGTGGAAATCAGATTCCAGAGACAACAATGACTGACTGATACATACAAGATGTTACAACCACCAAGAAGCTATGTGTTTGTTTTCAAAACAAAGCCGAGCATAGACACTCAGTGAAGCGGCGTCCTGGGTTTGAGTAATACCTCCAGGACACGACCGTACCAGTAGGCTCACAACTCACTTCGGCTCCATTAACTCAAGATTCTGATCCTGACAAAGTAAAGACCTGTCTCATTTACACACACTTGCAGGGTCTCAATTGTCTCTTACACAACATCTGTGCTTACAGCATATATAACCATTCTCATTCTTGATCTGTTCTATTCTTTTATTCTCCTGTGATATCAGTTGACAATAATATTAAAGTGGGGTCTTCTTGGATGGGCCCCATTCCGGTTACTGGAGGATCGGCTTTTTTCGTACTTAATTTTTCCAACATTCGTGGCCCGAGATTCAATTTTCCTTCTGTGGAGCACCATATATTAACCTCTTCCCCCGACCTCTTCTATCTGAACTTCAACTGACCAAAGCAGCTTCACCCAAACCTATTTTAAGTCTCCAACTACAACCTTTATACCTCTTACCATTCTAAGGGAGGTGTATGCACCTACTGCAACACATGTACACCTATAGCTCGACACAAGGATATGGCTCAAAATATCTCTACCAATTATGACTATTTTTCTTTGTTCCTATACTGTTCTCCTAACTCTACCAACTATTTGGAACTCTTTGACTATCTCACTTCTTGCCATGAGTCGTTGCTATCCACACGCCCCAACACTGAGATCATCTACCTAGGGGATTTCAATGTACAGTCACCCAAAGATGCACCGACCCCACCCTACCCTGGGTCTCGTGCTTGCAATTTTACCTGGCAATACCTGGTAAAGGAAGGCTGTATGTAAAGGTGATTGTGATTGGTGGATTGTTTTTGGCTGTATCATTTTCAGGATAATTATTAAACAAACCAAAGGTAGAATTTCTATAATAATAAACTATTCATTGTAATTTAAGGTCACGAGGAGTTTCCAAATGTTTGTATATTTGTTTAAATAATGAAGAAAATTTGATGTGAGAATCTTGTGGTTGTAGTTGAGTTGCCAATTGATTAATATAATTTTCTTCATTATTTAAACAAATATACAAACATTGGGAAACTCCTCGTGACCTTAAATTACAATGAATAGTTTATTATTATAGAAATTCTACCTTTGGTTTCTTTAATAATTATCCTGACAGTGATACAGCCAAAAACAATCCACCAATCACAATCACCTTTACATACTGTACAGCCTCTCTTTACCAAGTACTGTTAGGTAAATTTGCGAGCACGAGACCCAGGGTGGGGTCGGTGCATCTTTGGGTAACTGTACATTAGGGGGCAGGGAAAAAACACTTTTATTTGAGTTGCAGGCTGCACTTTTCAGGCATCGTTTGTATGGCTGTAACAAACACCTGTGCAAAATTTCATGCCATTTCATGCATACTTACCCTGCCGCATCGCGAACGACTTTTTGTCAACTTTTAGTGTATACCAAAAATTAGGTGTCATTTAATGTTTTCCAGGATAATGATAAATTTTACATGGGTGACATCGATTTAATTCACATGTTATTTTACAGGTACACCGTATAGAAAATCATTACAAGTTCATATTGAAATTCTTTTTTGTGCGGAACCTTGGCATCATTTTCCTAGACAATAATCTTTGCCTAATATATCCATCTCTCGATTCGTATCCCGTCACTTCAGTGCAAGCTTCAGTCATCACTTTTATGCCTCTCTCGACCGCCTGAGTGCTGTTTGGCCACTTGGGCACCACTAATGGTGTCTCAAGAATGTCATTAACCTGTAGATTTGACAGAGAAGCAATGTAAGGAGGCTCAGTCTTGAGTTCATTCCTCCAGTTAATCATGGAATGATAGTTTTTTGCTTGCCACTTTAGTTTCGGAGTCACCACCTTTCTCATGTTGACTACAGGAGGCACATCCTCATTCCCATCTCCATCTTTACCCTCCTCATCAGTATAGTTTAACAAATTCTCGTCAACAGCAGCATCAGAATCTTCCTCCTCCTCTTCAGATCTGCCAGTGCATTCTTCCTTTTGCTGATTCTCCTCTCTAATTTTTCTTATCATTGAGACAGCTTTTTCTCTAACAGTCATGTCCTCATCTGCACACATACCAAGAAGAAGTTGATCTGTGTGGGCGAAGTATGCATTTCTCTGGACAGCCTTCTTCACTATCGTCTCCTCCTCACTATTCAGGTGTTTCATATATAGCAGGGACTGGAATACGTTCCTTGAGCCGTGTGTTACGTAAGGGTGTATCTTGATGTAAAACCACATTGGAGCACTGAACTTTATTATTGTAATGACAATTCTTTTCAACTCATGGCTGGGTCTTGATGTTGCTACATACAGCCTGAGGATTCTACTCCATAAGGTGTTCCACCTTGACACACAGGGAGGACCTGGCTCAATAGCAGCCAAGTCATCTTCAACAACACCTGTGATAACTCCTTTACAAATCCTATACAGGTATTTCTGATCCCAGGACAGATCTTTCTCCACTTCATCATTAAGCACAGGGAAATCAGGGAAACTGACTGGCTGGAAGGCGACAACTGGAAGCTCAGACAAAGACTCCTTGACCTGCTTTCCAATGGGACCACGCCAATGCTCAGGACCACTTGGTTTACCATCGTAGTGATAAAAAACTGCGCGGAAAGGCAGCTCATTTCCGTGAAGCTGACATATGAAATAATGGAGCGGGTGACCAAGTAACATTTCAAGATGATGAATGACTCCATTTTCTGATCCTACATTTACATTGGTTCCATCACAACCAACACACACAATGGGCTGCTGGGTTAGATTTTTCTCCACCAGAAACTCGTGAATAGTTTTGGCAATCTGCTTTCCGTGTCCAGTCTTGGGAGTCACATGTGTGAGATATTCATTGCCAGGCTCAACCATGATGACATAATGATCTTTCACCATCATCCTCGAACTCCATTTCTCGGTCTTCTCATTCTTTATCATCACACGAGTGGCGGTCTTCTTACCATCAAAATAGAGTGACGTCAAATTATCTAAACTAGCCATCTCAATTTCTTGCCTCTTAAATCGGTATTTTTGTCTCGCATCCCGCAGCTTATGTGGTCCAATAACCTGACTCTTGTCATCCTTTGTGATAATGCCATAGTCAGTTAAGGTGGCAGTAGCAATGGCAGCTCCAGCATAATCACTAATCAAGTATCGGTCACAAGCGGCAGCCAGTGTAGGGAGTCTTGTCCGGTTCTGTGAATTGGTGTCTGTCAGAGCCCTTGGATCAGGGACAAAATCAGCATCAGTATTGACGAGAGGAATATCTCTTGAATCATCTGAATTATATAGACATAGCACCATACTCATCTGCAACAAGACAACTTAAATGAAATAAGAGATATGAAAAAAAAGTTGATAAACACTGAACAGAACATTGCACCGCCACAGCGGCTGTTTGGCTAGTACTGTAGGTAAATTTAAAAATTTCAGTAGAAAATGCGGCAGACTAAACCTCGACATATCAGCTTCAAATTTGGCATGGAGTCTTAGATATGTATAAGGAACAATGCCTGAAGAGTGCAGCTTTGAGCAAAATTTCACTGCCCCCTACTGTACATACTCTTGCTTTTTTTGATAGTTTTTGTTGGAAGTATATTATGCACAATTTCTTATAACCTTCTTAATACTGTATTCCTATTTCTGTCATGAATTATATAGATGGGTTATGTAAAGTTGGCCCACCTAAGATATTTCTTTCTGTGATGCCAATACT